ATTAATATGAGAAAATGAAAAAATGGAAACAAAGTCTTTGTAAATAGGGAGGGATGGAGGGGTTGAAGGGAGGGCGGGGGAAGGGGGAAAAAATAAGGACCAAGATGGATTATGTACAGGTGCAAATTTCCAGTGATGAATGTCATATTGTATACCTTAAATGTACCAATAAAATTAATTTTTTTTAAAAAAAGATCGTTTTGTTTATTCTGAGTCCTTTTCTTGCCATAGGAATTTCAGGATCAGTTTGTTGGTTTCTATAAAAATAAGCAAACTGGGATTTTGATAATGTTGGCAATGGGCTTGTAGATAAACTTGGGAAATGTCATTTTATTGATATTAAATCTTAGAGTCTCCCTTTTTTTCTTAAAAAAAATAAAGATGTGGTTTGTGCTCTCAGCTAGCATACAAGTTAGGAGAATCATGTCAAGAACTCAGCCGAGTAGTCTAGTAAATAACAGTAACAACCACAGAAGGAATTACTAGTGCTTTTTTTCACTACTACTCATTATTATGGATAAGAATGTGGTAGTCTCTAGAATAAATAGAAAGGACAGCTTTTTGGTTTTTATCAAAAAAGCTTAGAGTTAAACTTTGAAAAATAAATAGAACTTTGATGAGAAGTAGGGGTTTTGAAAAGTTGAATCCTGCACAAGTATCTGATATCTGCAACATTTGAAAGACCCAAAGGAATTTTATTGTTGGTAGTTGAAATGTGGGTTTATGTGGGGCTGACTTTTTCACATTTGTAGATTTACAAAACAGGAAGAGAAGAATTGGAAAATGTAAAAGAAAATGGGGATGATGATGGGACAAGGCCACCAGTATAGAGGCCAGTGAATTGAGAGTAGCAGAGGGATTGGGGAAGGATGTGGAGAGTTGTTCAGGCAAAGAAAGTAGAGAAGGCATTCATTTGATGAATTTGACCTTTAGGGTAAAGTTAAAGGCAATTTTTTTTCAGAGTGAGTAAGGGTTGGAGGATGAAGTTGGGATCCAGAGAAAAACAAAAAAGGTGAAAATAAGTATTGTAAAGAATGTACTATGTAGTTAAAAAAACAAAATATTTCACACGGCATTGTAAAGTATCAGATGAATCTAAGTTCCATGAATTGATAATGGAACTAACTGGCCTTGTTTGGTTTTTTAATTTTCTCTAGCATTGTGTGGTAGTTTGAGGGGGAAAAATGGAATAAATGAACAGAAGGATTTACCCAAAGTTGGTATTTGGCAAATTTGTTGATAAAAGAACAAGAAGTAGCTAGAAACTGGGAGTGGTAGCACATGCCTCCTAAATCCCAGGGAGGCTGAAGGAGGATCATGAGTTCAAGGCCAGCCTAGGCTGCATAGTACAGTAAGACCCTGTCTCCATAAAAGAGAAAAGAAAAAAAATTTTGCCAAAAAATTAAAAATTTTAGTGAGGGCATCTTTGAAGTGATGAGCCACACAGTATAGGAAGGAAGACAATGATGGTTCACATCTGAAAAACTGAGGGAGACTAATGCTAACCTGAACAGATTAATGTGACGGTGAGATGTATATTTAACAAGGTGGAGTAAGTGTGTGCGTGCAGGGATATGAAAAGTTACAGATTGTAAAGATGGTGGTATGTGTGTCTCTTAAGTCTTGAAGATAGGGTGGAAATAAATACCCTTAAAATAGATTTGTTAACTCTAAGGGAGGAGTATTAAAAGAATAATCAGAGTTCGCATGGAATGTAGCAAGGATAAAGAGGCAAGATGAGCCAAGCACCTTGGTAGACTGTGGCTAAGAGGATGAGGGGGTGGAATAAGCATGCATTTTGTACTTAACCAAAGGACGGGCATTGGTAAATGCAGTGAAATGCTAGTAATCCATAATGGAAGAACCAATGTATTTTCAAAAACTAAAGCTAATATTTTGATAAGAAAATAACCTTTCCTGAGGCTGATTTTATATAGTAAGTGTACTTGCCCAGATGAATGTAAATAAGAATATTTGATTATGCAAGCAGGAATTTGTTATTTCCTAGACTGCATATTTATAACCATCAGAGAGTAAAATGTGAGTTAGTCTTTAAATCAGAGCCCAGTGCAACATAGTGTTGGGCACTTGTATGCTCAATATATATTTTTTGAATGATTGAAGAGTTGATAAATGAATCATGTTTAGAGAGATACCCTTAATTAGCTGTTGTAACTGAAAGCTAAACAGAATCACAGTTCAGAAAAAATTGAAATGATTCATTTATAATGCCCTACTATGCTAATGAAACAGTTTAAGATCAGAGGACAATTTAGGTTGTAAGGAAGGAAAGGGCATTTTGATGCAGTTTAGGTCCCTTACCTCAGTAGTTCATTTTTTTTTTAGTTCATTTTAGTATTTTCCTTTTTTATGCTTCCTCAAAGTAATGTGGAAAGATGTAGTGCATCACAGTTCTGTGGTCTTAATTGAAATGAAATTTCTCTTTCATTCTTCTCTACCTTTGATAATTCTCCTTTGCTTGTAGAATGAAGGCTGTACTTTATAACATGGCGTATCTACTCTACAACCTGTTCCCTTACCTCCATTTCAATCTTGTTCCACTGTGTACCTGTTCTTCATTTAAATTCTACATGCACATTTGATCCCTTACTCTGTCCCATGTATTGTATAGCATTTGGCTATATTAGTCTATAGTTTTTCCTCTGTCTTTTTTTTTTTTTGGTACCAGGGATTGAACTCGGGTCCTTGTGCTTGTGCAGCAGGCAGCGAAACCGCTGAGCTAAATCCCCGGCCATCCTCTGTCTTAAGTGTATATTCCCACTTCCTTATTTTTTTGCAGATTACTCCTGTGCAAAGGATTCTCCTATTTCCTCCATCCAAGTACCAGCCTTGTCCCCACTCCTTCCTCATTTTCCTGATGTCAAGAGTGTTATTTCTCATGTGTAATACACACACAATGTAAATTAAAATACAGCCCTCTGCTTCTCCATAGCCTAATTATAAACTCACTGACAGGAAATATCATATTAAAATCTGTGACTTTTCCCTGTAGCCTTTCATTAACATATGTAGTATTACATCTGTCTGGGATGGTAGGGGATTATATCTGTCTGGGATGTCTGGCATAGTGGACCATGAGTGAAGGGATCAGCACTGTCTTAAAGAACTATGGTGGGATGGAGCCACTTGCTTGGCAAGCACAAGGTCCTAAGTTCAATCCCCAGTACCAAAAAAAAAAAAAAGAACTACTAACACATACTCCACACATTCCATCTTTGTGCTTTCATCATCACTTTGTTCCTTTGTAATTTGATATCTTCGATGGTCATTTGACCATATACCCTTAGTCAAGTGAAACTTCTATGAGGATGCCCTGATGGATAGTAGCCCCAGAATTTCCTGACTGTGGGATGGAAGCCACATTTTAAAATAAAGTTCTTATTCTTCAAGCAGATCTATAGTGAAAAGGATAAAGTGTGTGTGTGTGTGTGTGTGTGTGTGTGTAAGAATAAAGTATTTTAACTAATAGCTATTTCAGAAAGAAGGTGGCAGTTAACACATCTTCTAAACCCTTTTGAGGAAGTTTTAGTGCTAACAGTGAGGTCTGACGCTATGGACCTTAGTCTTGTCTCTCCTAATACATCCCCTTTTCAATCTCTTTTAATACTCAGAGAGAGAGAGAGAACTTTATATGTTTACAACTTTTTTTTTTTTACAGAGTCTTGCTCAGTAGTCAGGGCTAACCTGGTACTTCCTATGTTGCCCAGGCTGGCATCAAACTCAGAATCCTCCTCCCTCAGCCTCCTGAGTGCTGGGTATAGTAGTACACCACCATGGCTGGTTTCATGCCTACAACTTTTCTGGAAAATAAAATGTAATAGCAAAGGAGACACTTATCTTGATGTAGTATAAGATTTTATCTTATGCTAGACATGTGGTTTGGTAAATTATTATTGTATCAGAAAATTAGAAAATACTGTGATTTTTAAATTAATATTCATGGACCATCTAGATGTCACCTTTATGTAAGGTTTCAGTGGGATGTAGTATTCATTAATGATATTTTCAGCACTTTATAACATCTAACTTAAAACTCTGCTAGCTAGATTGTAAGAAAATTATAATTAAAGACTGAAATTTCATAGTTTCTTTTGTTAATGCCAGGACAAATTAAAGATTCAATGTTAGTCTACTTTATTTTATAGGCCTATGAAGAATACACCAGCAAGCTAGATGCCCTCCAACAAAGAGAACAGCAGTTATTGGAATCCCTCGGGAATGGAACTGATTTTTCTGTTTCTAGCTCTGCATCAATGGACACCGTTACATCTTCTTCCTCTTCTAGCCTTTCAGTGCTACCTTCATCTCTTTCAGTTTTTCAAAATCCTACAGATGTATCACGGAGCAACCCGAAGTCACCACAAAAACCTATTGTTAGAGTCTTCCTGCCCAACAAACAGAGGACAGTGGTGAGTCAGTTTTTAATGTCATCGTATCGCTATTTGTCTGTTTCAGGAATAGTTACTGAAAATTAATGTTGTCATTTTATACTCAGAGGTCATGCAAATGGAAATATCCATTTCAAGCAAAAATGGGAAAGACATAATTGATTCCAAAATCTATATATCCTAACCAGAACAGATTATATTGTCACGGGCCAGGGATTTAGCTCAGTGGCTCCATGCCTGCCTTGCAAGCACAAGGTCCTGAGTTTGATCCCCAGTACAAAAAAAAAAAAAATTATATTATCAAATTTGACAGTTCAACCCACGTACCAAACATTGACACTTCAGTCTAAGTGCTAGTTAAGAATCAAGTAGTTTCAGACTTGATTTATTTAATAATATATGTCAAGTAATCTTTCTTCCCCCTTAAGAAATCTCCATTCTGTTACTAATGTTGAGTTTTCAATATGCGTGATATTTTTCCTCTTGTCTACACAACTTCTGATTGTTGATTATTAGTATCATTACTGGAACAGCATAGGATGGAGAAAACATTTAAAGCAGAGAAGTCTGCAGAATTATAGATGATCTCTAATCCTCAAGTGCAACAGATATTGTCAAGAGATCTAATAAGTAATGTACCTGTAGACATCACTACTTTTTTATGTGTGTTGGCTTTTAACATTTATTTAAAAAATTCTAAATCAATTGATCAGACTAGTTTTTTCTAAGACAACAGAAAAGTACAACTGCTGTTGTTCAGTGTTCCAGAAATTCCCTTTTGATTCAGAAATATATTATAAAGCAATTATACCCTCCCCAGAATAAGAATTCTTGCATAAGAGACCATACTAAAAAACTAACAGAGTTGCTACCTACTAGCTTGTAGATTTTGATCTTACTTAGAAAATACTTTCTAAAGGAATTATTATCAGAAATTCATTCATGCATACTTTTCTTGCCCTTTCTTCCACAGAGAAGAGGTAGTTCTAATAAAATACTCTATTCATTGTATAGAATTACTGCTTAATTAAATTCAGTTTTCCTACTGTTTCTCTTCTTATTATGTAGAATAGAATTAACACTATTGTCCCCACATATAGATGGTAAATTTCTAAGCAGTCTTTCCATGGATGCTCCCTTAAAGGAATATAAGGTGAAATTATATGCAATTGTCTGTGGATAGAAATCCTGTCTTTCAAGTAGCCTGTTAACAACACAGTTTATGGCAAATATTACATCCCCAGTGGATCTGAAATGAATTCTTTATTCCTGTACTCATAAGCAGAAGGGAGAAATGCATTCTCAAGGTCCAGGCTTTTCCCCTCTCTTCACCACAGTACTCTTGCTCCATTCAGGCTCTGCTAAACTTAGTAACTGTGTGAGTTTGTGGCTCTGACTAAATAAAATTGGTGGCATTAGAGGTCACTTTTCAGAGTTCTTAGACTAAATGATTAGGATAACCTAGCCTTTTCATATTTATGAGGTAGCCTAAGAGAATCCTTAAATTCAAAAATACTACCACTAAATTTTATAATTTTCCCTTTTAAAATGCAATAAAAACAGTTGAACCACTTTAAAAATATAAAATGATAATAATTAAAGAACTACTAGGCCATTGGTGGCAAACCTATGGTACATGTCGCATCTCACTGTTTGCATCATTGAAAGTGCTAAAAGGTTTGCCATCACTATAGTAGGCAGTTGACTAAATTTGCCTTTATAATCCTGCCTAGGCTTAAATAAATGACTTGTTCTTATCTATTAAACTCTCAGCTTAACTATTCACATTCAGTACTCTGCGAGTATTATGAACTTTAGGAGAGTTCATGAATAGTCAATAAACAGGTCTATGGTGTTAAACTCTTTTAAGCATATTGTTTTGCCATTCTCCCTTTTATATGAACCCTTTTCTTTCAGTTTTCTTCTCCCTTTCCTCACTCAGTTCACCTTAGTATTAAAATTTATTATTTAAGCATTTACTGTGCCATATTCCAAGTTCTGTGGAAAGCTCTGTACATACATTATCTTAATAAGGACAATACATTCTAAGTAAAACTGTAATAGTGAACAGCAGGTCCTCAGTGAAAAAAATACTTGTTAGTCCTGAACACTCAGGAACAGAGGGCAGTAGAACCTACAGCACTAGTAGTAAATGAAATCAAGCACCAAAATGAAGTTAATATTTTTTTAAAGAAGATTCAGATATGTAGTCTGATTGCAGACTTAGCACTTACCTTTACATTTTTGCCCCAAAACTTATATTGAAATGCCAATAAAGTTATATGAAAAATACATCAGTAAAATATAAAAACAGGATAGGATGCTGTGCAATGACTAAAAATTTGGGTGAATTCCTGAAAGATAAGAGTATACATGATTCTATAAGTGAGTAAGCCAAAAGATAAAAGCAAAAAAGAATTGGAACTAGATCCACATGGGAGCTATTTTCAACAAAATGCTCATAAACCATAGAGCCTGTTCAGCAGCTACAAAGAACAAGATTTGCCTCTTGAGCAATATTGGAATAGTAATTAATCAAAGATCTCCTGGCAGTAGAAGAAAATCATGTCTTCAGGAACCAGGCAAGTTAAGTATTTAAATGAACATGTGGAAAGTGTGTGTTAGTTGTGAGCCTTGTGACGAACCAGAGTGAACAAGATTCCCCCCCAAAACATTAAGAGTTCTGAATTCAAAAAAATAAATTTTAAAAATGCTTGTCACATAAGTTCAGCCGTCTGATAACGGGCTGCTGAGTGTGAAGTCAGCCATCTGTTGCAGAAGTCCAGAGAACTGTGAATGCAACCTGCTGGAGTCATCCACAAAGGGCCCCTGTCAGTTCCCTGGGACGTGCAGTATGGAGTGAAGGGATTCTAGCAGTTGTCCCAGAATAAAGTTATTTTCTTGACAGAATGAAATTTCTGCCTGGAGAGTTCTGCGTGAGTGTCAGGATGAGAAATCAGAGTGAAACTGAATATTAGATGTTTCATGAAACTCAGAGAAATCCAATGAGGCAGAAAGTAGAGGTTAGCAGAGTGGTCACACACCTGTAATCCCAGCTGTTTGGGAGGCTGAAGCAGCAAGATTGCAAGTTTAAGGCCACCCTGGGCAGCTGAAGGAGAGAGACCCTTTCTCAAAACCAGGGTGTATGGAGTGGGGGAGGTACTAATCCACCCAGGAATAATCTAGAATGGAAGAACTATTCACAGACCTAAGAAAATTTCCTCGTGTTGAAGAAAATACTAGTCTTCAGATAAGTAGGAACAACTGATTGTCAGCAGAACTGGGGCAAGCCAGGGATGATATTACATGCCTCTAAACACATCTATTCAAAAGGCTGAGGGAGAGCCAGGGATTTAGCTCAGTGGTTCTGCCACCTGCCTCACAAGTGCAAGGTCCCAAGTTCGATCCCCAGTACCAAAAAAAAAAGGCTGAGGCAAGAAGGTTCCAAATTCAAACCCAGCCTGGGCAACTGAGAGAGTCTCAAAATAAAAATTTTTTTAAATATTTAAGTGGCTGGAGATGTAGATTAGTGCCAGAGTGCTTGCCTAATGTGTGAAGCCCTAGCTTCTATCCCCAGTGCTGAGGGGAGAGGGGGAGAGACAGGATATTTTGGATATCTGGAGACTCAAAGTTATTTCAGTAGAATATAATAGGTATCTAAAAGTAGATACTAGAATTCAGGCAAATTTAATGTGAAAGAATAATTGTTCAGTTAGTAAGAAAAGTGAATCAGGTTTTTGTACTGGCACATTTAGAAAAAATAAAATTGTACATACATCTTAGTTAGAAAAATACAGTAAATTCTAATAGAATCAAGAAATTAAAACAATGGTGCACACCTGAGGCAAGATGATTGAAAATTTCAGCTCAGCCTCAGTGATTTAGTAAGAAACCTACAAATTAACAACACAAACCCCAGTAAAATATGGGCAGAGGACTTGAATAGATATTTCTTTAAAGAAGATTCACAAATAGCCAAAAAATATGAAAAGGTATTCAGCATTGCTAATTAGAAACATACAAATCAAAACCACAGTGAGCTACCTCTTCTCAACCGTTATTAGGATGACTACTATAAAATAGACAAACAAAAGTGTTTATGAGGATGTGGAGAAATTAGATGCCTTGTACATTGTTGGTAGAAATATTAAATGTACAACTGCATGGAAAACATTATACAAATTCCTTAAAACAAAAAACAGGATTATAGTACCATATGACCCAGCAGTTCTGCTTCAGGATATATGCCCCAAAGAATTGAAAGCAAGGTCTTGAAGAAAATATCTGTTAACCCATGTTTTAGCTGCATTATTCACAATAACCAGATGATGGAAGCAACTTGAGTGTGATGGCTGGGTGTGGTGGTGCCCCCTTGCAATCTCAGCACTCAGGAGGTGGAGGCAGAACAAATCTTAAGTTCAAGGCCAGACTGTACTACATAATGACATCCTGTCTCAAAAACAAAACAAAAATGTGTTCATTGATAGATGAATGAATAAACAAAATGTGATATGTATGTATGATGAAATATTATTACCCTTAAAAAGGAAGTACAGGGCCAGGGATTTAGCTCAGTGGTTCCGCAACCTGCCTTGTAAGCACAAGGTCCTGGGTTTGATCCCCGGTACCAAAAAACAAAAAAGGAAGTACATTCTGATACATGCTACAGCATGTAAACTTTGAGGGCATTATGCTAAAAGAAATGAGCCACTCACAAAAACAAATATTAGTATATGAATTACTTATATAAAGTATCTAGAGTATTTAGATCCATGGAGACAGAATAGAATGGTCGGTGTCAGGGGCTGGGGAAACAGTATAATAGTTATATAAAAAGTTAAGGACCGAGGATTTAGCTCAGTGGTTCTGCTGCCTGCCCCGCAAGCACAAGGTCCTCAGTTCAATCCCCAGTACCAAAAAAAAAAAAGTTAAATATACTCCTACCATATGACCCAACCGTTTTACTTCTAAATGTCTACCCAAGAGAAAGCATATATGGTACCCAACAAAGATTTGTACGT